GTTCTTGGGAAATAGGGTTAATTGAAATTAAGAATTGTCTCTTAAAATTTGTTAACAATTATAACTTCATGTACTTTTAGCTTTATTTATAAGACAGTGTTACATAAGAGTCATGAAAAGATAGTACATTTTCAAATCATGCTCAGCACAGAATATCCACAAACATCAGTGCTAAAAGTTTTTTTCACAGGACACCTTGAGGTGAGCTTAGCAATGTCATTGTTTAGTGTTATAAAGTATGAGTGCATTCACCTTGTCTTTTACTGTAGTATTTGCTAAAGTCTCTATTCAGATGGAATTCAAATGATAGAAAAGATAATATGCTACTGATTTATTTAAAGTTTAAATGGTGAGTATTTTATTCTAATTTTAAGTCTCCTTGAATCAAATCTTGTTTGTTCGTAAGTGCATCTGCATTTGGTTACACTTCAGGACTATGTTATGTTCCATCATATGAAACTGTCACTTAATGTATGTCAAAGACAATCAGATATTGACTGTTTCATGTGGTTCAACTTAATAACTTACTATTCTAATGATTTTCATTTCTGTATTTTTATTTAGTGACCCACATAGTTCTGCATGCCTCAGTTTGGGTGAACTGAACATTTGCCCTTGCTGTCTCCTTACTTTTCTCTGTGAGATTTTGTAGAAGATACATGTACTGAAATGCAGTTCAGCAAAATAACTTTGAGAAAGAAAAATAAGTCTTACTCCTGTATAAATGATGTGTGAAGTGTGAAGCTGTGTGTGTTGCGGGTGGAGAAGGCAGCCTATTTGAAAGCGGGCTGTCCATGTCTGCAGGGACTGTCTCTGGGCTCGTTTTGGTTTTGTGCTCATTAAAATGATTGACCGTGGAGGTGGTGAAGCACGCACCTCAAATCAGTGTAGATCTGTAATGTGTCTTTTTCCTCTCTAAATTACAGTAATATAATAGCTTGTTGATTCCACTTTTGGCTGCTTAGTGGCAGTGTTAGCACCTAATGAAAATATGTGAAACTTAAAATAGTTGGTAAATATGTGTAACATTTTAACAAAACAGCAGACTATCTGAAGTGCTGTTTTTGGCTAACCTAAAAGATGCTGTCACTGAGCCTTGATCCAGTCCTGTATCCTAACATCATCCAAAGTGGTGTAATTTCTACTCAGAATGATACATGAACTTGACTTGTTTTCTTTTTGAACTTTGACAGCAGATTCACCCCAACACATTATACTGCATGCTGCAGGTGATCACATTTATGTTGGAAGTTTTATGTAAACTTTATTCTATGTCTTCCCTAAATTTCAATGAAAAAACCCCACAAACTTTGTGTTTAGTTTCATTTAAAAAAAAATGCTAGAACAGTAAGATAGTGTTAAAGTAGTTTGAAACCCCAGTTTGTGATGTTTATTTGGTAAATTTACAGATTAATTCAGTTATGAGAAAGAGAAGTTCTGCCTGAGAAATAGATGTTTTTGATGATGGAATTAAATAATTATTTTTTGTTTTATTTTACCCATTGAAATAAAAATAAAAGTGACATTTGATTCACTTAGGCCTTAGGATTAATAACTAGAGACACTTCTTTTAGCCGAGATACCCCATCATATTCCTAAGCTGACTATGCTATGTTGTAGAGGAAGTAAAATAATGAACGGTTTTGAAAATAAAATACAATGTTTCTTGAGTAAGGTAAAAATAATAGTGCTCAGGATTTTTAAAAAATTCCTTAAGAACCACATTATAATTGCTGTTTTATTTTTATTTTATGTGCTCATTTGGCATGAGGCTGTTATAACTGAATAAACCTTCATTTTGATAGGGAATATACATATTCTATATGTGGCCACGTAATATGATACATGATTTGAATATTTCTCCATTTGTGGGGTTTTTTTTGTTTTGTTTTGGTTTGGTTTTTTTGTCTTTTTCCTTTGTATTGGTACCAGGGATCGAACTCACGACTGCCTGCTTACAAGGCAGGTGCTTATGCCACTGAGCTAAATCCCCAGCCCCGAATATTTCTCCATTTGTATTAAAGGGTATGAATGGTGTACTTATAGGTACTATAATTGTGTGGAAAACATACAATCAGGATTGTGATAACATTATGATTATGTAGTGTCCTAACATCTCTAAGCCACTCTAAATTTCTTGGATAAACTGAGAAAGATAATCTTTCTTATATGCACTTTATAGTAATGGTTTTTTAATTATTGCCATTCACCAAACACAAATGCCTCTTCTGCAATTCAGTGACCATTTTCCACAAACCTAAAGACCACTATGAATCATCACTTGTCTAAACCTTTATTCTGAAAATTAGTAATATAAATCTAACTTAAGTTTGAACATGTCCTTTTAAAACTGTTTACTCTATTTAAAATTACTTTGAATAGTTGAAAAATCACAAATGCATTTACTGTAACTGCTCTCCATATCAGTGAAATGGCATATGAATGAAGTTACTCACCACAATATAGGTCCTGAAAGCAAAAGATCAAAAGCAATGCACATAGCCATCCAGAAGACACTATGAATAATTACCATGTGTTCACACCCAAAGAAATAAAACCAAAAAAAGCTATATACATCGTATGCTATCTTTTGTATAAGTGGGATGGGGTGTGGGTTAAGTATTCACAGAAATACTGAAAAAACATGGGAAACTGGACAATAAGTATCTAAAAATACTGAATCTGGGAATGATTTAAGTGCAGTAATAGCCTTCGTCTTCTTCAGGGAAATGTAATAGTGACCAGTCTGCTTTCCCTGTTCCAGTGTACTTTCCCAGTTACGCAGTTTCTTAAAAGTCTCAAAGTTACATTGAAGTCAGTCATACATATTTACATGGAAGAATAACATCAATACCATCCTGTTTCCTGTCATTCTTTATCGGAAATAGGGAAATAAGTAAAATAGTTTCTGTTTGATTCTCTTGTTTTAGACTCATCATTTTCTATAGCCTTTTTCTTCTGTCCTTGTTCCTCTGTTTGCCAAAATTGATGAGCTTTAGTATTTTAACTTATAGGTCTCCTTTAATTTTACAGGTTTCACTAAGGTTTTATTGTTTTGCTTTGTTTTTTAATGTTGTTCTGTGTAGGTGCAGTGGGATTGCTTTAACTTACTGCAGTCTACCAAGGAATTACAGTTCTTCCCATAGTACAAAGTTGAGAGCAGTGGGTCTTAAAGAAGACGTGGACAAGATAAGGAAAGGGGAAGTTACATGTACTGCCAGCTGGGAATAGATGGAGAAGGATATGAGAAATCCTTCCTCAGTCACGGGAAATTCTGAGTTCCTTCATACAGTAAAATTCTATCATACTCTAATGTTTGCTTTTCAATTGCAGTAAATTGAAGATTGTATTTGAGAGTAGCAGAGAAGATGTCTTTGGATCTGATAGTAACTGTGTGCCCTGGGTCCTCCCCCAAGCCATCCTGGCTGCCTTTCACAGTGCAGCTCTTTCCAGGCCCCCATTTGTTCTCCCAGATTAGCCCCCAGGGCATGGAACAGCTTCTTCATGCTGGGGTTTTAGCTTCTTTTGCCTGGATGTACTCACAGCACTGCCTCACATTTACCAAATAGAGATCGAGAGAGGACATGGGGTTTGGGGCTGCAATTAACTGGATTATATGGGGGGTGGGGGCAAGACTGAGAGACAGAAGAAAACTAACCTTTGTCATTGTGTATCCCAGATTGCCCTTTACCTCCTGCCTCATATTTTCTTGATTTATTTAGACTAAAAGCTCTTTTCCCTCCCAGTATCTCTTGCGTCAATCATAGTGCTCCAGTCGTCAGTGTGACTTGTTTGGTGAAACCCTAGAAAAATAGCTTTTACGGGCTTCCACATTCATTCCGAATTTTGGTTGCTAGTATCCTGGAAGCTCAGGCAGTGGCAAAGAACTGTCAGAACTGGTTCAAAGAGTTGAAACTATGTTGAAACAGCTGACTGCCAAAAGCCAGTGTTGAAGGCTTAAGACTAAATCATTTTATAAATTCAAAAAACATTAACTTGCTCTGTTGAAGAGATTTGAGTGCAGTGGGGAATCAAGTGTATGTGAAGTTGCAGTTTTTAAAATTACTCATTTTCAGTAGACCATAACAGAAAAGAACATGAAACCACAAGGCAGAGTATCTCCCTGCCCTCCCAGGATTAAAATGTGTTGTTTAACAAAAAAAGTAACAGTTGAACTGAGTTAGCATTGTGAAGTAGGGAGAGGAGGGGAAAGACAGCAGGCACATCAATCCATAGAGGGAGGTCACTCTGTCCTGCTCACCTGGGAGGCTCATTTTGAGAGCCTTTGATCTTGAAGTTACGCATCTGTAGACCAGTGACAGAAGTACCGTTAAAAGATGAAAACCAAATCGTTAGAAAAACATTCAGAAAAACATGAAAAGCATATTTCTCAATTAAGTATTTACATGCTTCTGCTTCCAGTCTTGTCTCCCTACATCCCTTTGCCATTTTCCTTACAGGGGAAAAACAAAATCTCATGTTGAAAGCGCAAGCTCTTAAAGGAAAGCGAGGTCTCTAACCTTGGTAGCTGTGACACTGAGTTCGAGTTGGTGTACTGCAATTTCACTACGTGATAACTCCAAAATTAATGATTCTGCTTCCCTTTGGGTGTGGGGAGATGTTAACCGCAAGAGTGAGTGCAGGTGTGAGAGACTCAGAGTGAAACCTCACTGCAGACACGACACCGCACAGAACAGCTTTATTGTTAGTTCTGTGCGTCTGCGTGCATGCTTGCCTCTTCTGTTTAAATTGCTTACTTCAGCTTCTCTAGATATGCAGGAAACATCCAAAAATTATTTGCTTTAATATAACCATTGCTTAGTGAAACAAACAAGACGCAAACATAGCAGTGTTATGAGACACACAGAAAAGTATCCTCTTTCCTTTGAATACAGCTCACCTCCTCTGAGAAATTAACAGCCAGTGCCCAGTGCCCTGTTTATCATCCGTCCAGATCGCTGGTCATATAAACCGACTGTCACACATTTAGTTTCTCCTACCTGCACTTGCTGAGAGCTTGCTGTTGGCTGCTCTTTAGAAGTCACAGCCTTGTCACACTGGTGTGCTGCTGTTACACCCAGCCAGAAGTTCATAGATGTGTCGAGAATGATCCCAAGAAAGGGTAAAACCAGCCCCTACTTCCAGAGTCCTTTTGGGGTTGTTTTTGAACTTTCTACTTCTTATACAGAGCTCTGCTGAATCATATGCTGGCTACCCAGCCGTGGTCTGCCTTCTGATTCATTTCCAGGAGAGGATAAATTTCTGTTGTTTTCCAGCAGTCAGTGACTTTTCAAGACAGGGATGGGGATTCGGGAATTTCATTTATTTGATCCCATTGTGAATGCAAGAATGGAATGACTCCCTGGCACACACTTGAGTTGGGATAGTTCAGGAACAAATTTTTGAGTAGCTTTAATTGTTAAATTTAAAGGATGTATGCATTTAGAAGGGGAAATTACTTTGTATCTTCCTGTTAACCAACAAGTTCTCATGCAGTACTTGTCTTTTTATGCTGTTGCCATGGGTCAGCAACACTTTTTAAAGAGTATAATTATGTGTGACCTTCTGCGATTTTGTTGATTTTTATTCTGTATTACTCCTTTTAAAACTGACTCAGCTGTGTGTATATACTTACCAAAAGTAGAGGAACATAGCTTTATTTTCTTATAAAGAGAAAGAAGATACTTATTATTCAATCATCAGTCCTATTCCTTTTAAAATGTGCTTTTCCTAATAATTTGACAATTTACACAAATGATGATTCATTTTTTTGTCAGTTCCTTTGTTCTTTATTGTCCCCAAGTAAAAATGTAGCGCTCGTTACGGAGTGTCCTGCCTGTTGGTGACTTTTTCCACCATCGTGATTGTCTGTTGAATTTTCTTGACATTATAGCTGTCCTTATTGACTGACTTACCAAATCTGTGTGCTGTAGGGTAGCCTACATTTGTTAAATTATGCTCCCTTGTGTCCTTTTCTATAGGTTTTTGTAATAAATAGAAAACGCTCATTTAGAGAGTTGTTTTAATCTAAATCCTTGAGAAATTTCTAGTTTTCAAAAAGAGCTTCTTTTACCTTTATATGTAATAGTAACTGAAATTATGTGAAAGACAAAAATGAGTCCCTGAGGTCCATTTCACTCCAGTGGTTTCTACTTAAAGTCTTAACTGCCCTCATTTGAACATTGAAAGAAACTTCCAGTTTTAAATTGAGCTGAAAGAGCGTTTAGCCTTTCTGGTCTATCTGGATTTTGATCATGAAGTTACTTGGTTTTGGGAATCCACTGTGTGAGAAGCTATATATTAGTCATGCTTTGGGACTTAAAAGATGGTTGAGAAATGTCATTCCCCTCAAGAAGATTAGATCGGACTCAGTCTACTCTATTGTGAACACCAGTGGCCTTGGAATCATCTTTTGTCACCTTTATTACTGACAGTGATTTATGTATGTGCAACAAAGTTCATTAGATATGAAAGTGTTATACTTTGTACTTTAAAGGCATTTGTAAAATTCATTCATGTAGAAAAATGTAAGGCATTGTAAACTTAAAAACTCTTCCATGTGTCTTTGTATTTTGTAGTAGTGGCAGTTGCATCTAAAGCTTTTACATTTTACTGTCTCACCCTTTTTTTTTTTTTTTTTTTTTTTTTTTTTTAATTTTGAGACTGTCTCTCACTAAGTTAGCTGGATTCAGACTTGGGGTGTTCTTGCCCCAGCCTCCCAGGGTACTGGGATTACAGGCCTGCACCACTCTATGCGTCCTATAATTTTATTTTTAATTAACACTCATACATGGGACCTATTATGTCATTTCAGTATATATATGTGAGGTGAGACCAAAATGTAGTTAATGTTTAAATTTTGAAAATGTATTACAGTAAAAGATACATTGCCTTTAATCTTCCACAAAATACCCTGCATTGCTTCAGACACATTTATCATGCTTGCCACTTTCTGAACAGATCTAGAAGTCTCCTCCTGTGAGTATTTTACAAGGTGTGATAAAAAACAATACAGTGCCATCCACACATTAGTGTGTTCTCATCCACCTGTTTACCAGGTCTGTCACTGCAACTTCTGGCTCGTCCCCAGCATCACAATATGCACATACATCCATCCCGGCTAATGCTCAGCCCAGAGTGACTAGCCTATCTGTCTTCTCAGGTGTCTGTCATTTCTTTCTGTTGGTCATACTCAAAACCCTTTCTACTAACTATTTGGAAATACTTAGTGAGTTGTTGGCAAACATGGTCCCCATACTGTGATATAGAACATTAGAGCTGCACTGTACCCCTTTACACATTAACCATTGCCCCTCAAACCTTCTCAGGCTCTGGTAATTACTGTTTTTTCTGTTTAGTGAGATCAGCTTTCTGACTTCCACATATAATTGAGAATATATAGCAGTTGTCTTCTGTGATTTCGGTTGAAATTCAAATGTTGTACAACTTGATTGCTCTTCTTTCCTTCTTTTCTTGGGCTTCTACTTCTCATCAGTTTCTAAGTCATGTGAATTGTTTATAAACAATATTTGTCTTTAGTGGCTTGGATCACAGTGGGTTCTCTGAAATGTAAGGCTTGTGGCCATTGGAGAATAATTACTTTGAATAGCCCACAAAGTCTGAGGATGGACAAGCTTATCTAGCTCAAATGAAATATTTTAAAAATTTTAATTTGTGTTTGGTATTTGTTTTATTAAAATGTTTTTATTTTAACTTTTTTCTTGAAATAATATTTTCTCTAGAGATAGTAGTCTAGGTTAAATTTACTTTTTGCCTTCTAGTTTCTGTTGGGTATGTTGAAAAGACATTGTCAGACTAATTGTTCTTTAAAGAATAATCTGTTTTACTCAGACTGCTGATTGCATTTTGCCTTTAGTTTTTAGCCTTGTATTATCATTTACTTTGATGGATTTTTTTTTCTATATTTGAAATTTGCGGGAGTTCTCAAATGTGCAGTTAACATCATTGGTTAGTTTATGGAAATTCCTGAGCCATTATTTCTAAAGACACTACATCTGTCTCCTTTTATTGGGTCGGAGTATAGAAGTAGGGGACATTCATCTTTTTCTTTAACCTTAGAACAGTACTTGATCCATCGTATAATAAGTTCTTATCCAAGCAGTAAGTTGATACATGTAAATATGAATGACCTATTAATATAATTGTCACTATTGCTATGGTTTTGCATGCTTTAATGTTGTAAATACTTGGCTTATTTGTCCATTACTAAGTTTGTTATTAGTGCTAAGTGGTATAATGTAGTGAGATCCTGCCTATCCTTCCCATCATTTCTTCTGATGTTGACATCCTTTGGTACCCTTGTCAAAACTAAGAAACCAACATAAAATAGTCCTATTAACCTCCACACTGCACTTGGATGCCACTAGTTTTTCCACTAACGCCCTTTTTTCTGTTCCAGAAAGCCACATTACATTTAGTCACCAGATCTTATCAGTCTCTTCTGGTCTGTGACAGTTTCTCAGTTTGTTTATTTGCTTTTTCCCATGACCTTAAACAGTGCTGGAGTAAGGACGAGTGTTCTGTACAGTGTGCCTCTGCTGGGGTTTGTCCGATATTTTCCTCTGACCACACTGAGGTTATGGGTTTGGGGAGGACGTCTATAGAGCTGAGGAGTTGTGTGTGTCTCATCTGGGATACAGATGGGCAGTGTAACATCACTGGTAAAGCTAATGGTGATTTTCTGATCCACACAGTATTGACTGTTTTCTTTACAGGGTTTGTGCTGTTTCCCCTTTTTTCTGTGCTTTGCTCTGTTGCTTTGGTGTTTGTTACTATGTGAGTGCAGTGCGTAGTGATTACATTCGTCATGGAAATTTAGTAGTCGGGCATATCTCATCACTCCTCCTCACCTCCACCGGTACAAAAATCTGATTGCTGCCACTCTTCTGACACTGCAGATTAGCTTTTGAAAAGCAGCTCTTTTACATCACTCACATAATTATAGGTACCTTTATGACTTTTGCTATATATTTGGTTTTTAACCACTTCACTATGATGTGCTGGATACTGAGTTGGAGAATCACTTGCTCTTATATCTGTGTTTGATGTCTTTTGTTATATTTTGGGAAGCTCTTGGTCATTGTCTCTTCAAAAAATTTTTGGCCCCATTTTCGCCATCTCTTTTTAACTTAGACTTTTCAATTATAGATGTTAGACGTTGTGATCAATAGTATCTTCTCTTGGTGTTTTAGCTTAAATAAATTCTGTTAACTCTTCTTCCAGCTCATTGATGTGTCCTTAGTTACATCAAGTGCTCATGTGCTCACAAAAGAATCCTCATCTCTGATATTATTTTTAATTTTGAATATTTCCATAGTTCCTATTTCTCTACTAAAATTTCCCATCTACTCATTCATTTCATTCTTTTCACTAGATTCTTTAACACTTTAATGCTAGCCATTTGTAAATTTCTGCCTCATAATTCCAATATCTGGATCATGTGTAAGTCTACTCCTGTTAATTACTTTCTTGGAAAGTGAGTCGGCTGGGGTAGAGTGTTGTTTATCAGCCTTATAATTTTTTATTAAATACTAAACACAATGTGCATATTAGGTGCACTGAGGTAAAGAGTATACCTCAAATTGGGCTTGCCTCTTCTTACATTGGGCTGTTAGTGGGCAGAGTTGAAGCAGTCTAGTCAGGAGCTGAGGTGGACTTGGGTTTCTCTGCCTGTGTGTACCCTGCTCTTCAGATCCCTGTAGTGCTGGATTGCACACTTCTGATGCTTAGTGCTGCTGTGCTGGTGTTTCCTAAACATCACTCCTCCCCCTCAGCTTTCAGCTGTTCCCGCACCTCTATGCTACCAAGAGGCTCACTCCCTGCACTACAGTCCTACTGAAGACTGTGCTGCCAGCTCTCCACACTGGCTTCTTTCAGGAGTGAAGGCGGAGCGTGTTTCTGTTGTTCTAGCTTAGCCTGTCTTAGGGAGGCCATGTGCGTCTGGGTCTTAGGGAATCGGCGTCCCTGCTCGCCTTCTCTGTGTCAGCCAAAGGGAGCCTCATACCACAGCCAACATTGGGCAGCGACTTCCTGGCCCTCTGGCAGCCAAGCTTTCTGTTTAACATTGACAGAGGACGTGAGGTCCCAGCTCCTTTCTCCCAGGACATTCCTCAGCCAGCCGCACTGGGTTCTTTCAGCTGCCCTGTGTACCCTTACTACACCCTCTCCAGCTCCCTAAGCCCCACTTACTTAGCATGAAGAATCTGAAGACGCTGGAGATACTTAGCACCTTTTCCTGCAAATATCTCCTGCCCTCAGCCCTCCCTAAGTGACGATCACCTCCTTGAGGCCTGTGGGCAGGACGACTTACTCCACGAACATCAGTGGTTGTGAGCATATGGCATGTGCCTCATTAGGC